AGATCTGACAAATGTTTTGGAACATTCTGGTCAGACATTACTTGGGCGATATTTCTGTGGAAATCAGACTCTAACTCTTCTAAATGGGCATGAAAGACAGTGCCTAGTATCAGAAGGGAGGGATCAACCTCCAGCAGCCTAAAGTGACTTGCTAGAACTGAGCACATCCCAATTCAATAGCCCACAAGTAATCATGTTATTGAGAAAGCATTCTAGATCATATCCATTGAGAAATTATGTTGGGAAAAGAGCAAAGCAATATTTTAACATTTGAACAGCTGGAGATAATCTAAACTGTCTTTAAGCTGTGTGGATATAAGAATGAAATACAGTAAAGGCAGTGGCAGAAAGATCTGACAAAAATAATTGTTTATCTAGATATACTGTATTTGTGTTACAGTTAAACAGACATAAAGAGAAGCCTTTGGTATTTCCAGTATACGCACATGGACATTAAGTGAACACCACAATCATTAATAAACTCATTAGTTACTCTGTGGTACTTTTAGAAGCTGTTTTCACTGCTAAATTTCTTCATTAAAAATGTGATAATTCCTTTATGGAGAAGTTAGCACTCTGGAGTAAAAGGTGCAAGGGAGAAACTTGCCCCTCCTGCAATAATAATGCTGTGTCTGAGGCATCTCTCTGGAAAATAAATTTCATTGATGGATCAGGGTATTGGAGAAGGGGCTACTTGGCAAAGAGCAATGTTAACTCATTGAATTAGACTGTTCCCTTTCTGTCCAATCAAATTTCACTTTCTTTTTCAGCAGTTGAGTGAGAGGCTTAACCTTATGTGCAAAGTTGGAATAAACTTCCTATAAAAGTTTGCAAAGCTTAGGAAATGCTGAACCTCTTTTACGCTATGGGGGGACTGCAGGGTGAGCACTTGCATGCACCTTCTGGGGATCTATTTGGATTCCATCTATGGAAACGCAATAACCCAGAAAATCTAACTTCTTCAAATCAAATACACATTTCTCCAACTTGACAAATAGATGATTATCATGTAATCTGCATGAGACCTTTCAAACATGGTGTTCATGAACTTTTTCTTCCTCTGACTAAATCAAAATATCAACCAGATAAATTACTACAAATTTGTCAATTATATTACAAATTTGTCGATTATATCAGAAAAAAAATTGGTTCATAAATTTGGAAAACACACCTTCACAATTGTGCAAACCAAAAAGCATTACAGTATATTCAAACTTTCCATACCTGGTATTGAATGCTATTAAAAATTCATGTCCTTCTTTGACTTTAATGTATTTCTGAGGTCCAGCTTGCCTAAATCTATCTAGCAAGTCTGATATGAGAGGTAGTAGGTATGGTTCTTTGCTGTGATCAGGTTAAGAACTTTTTCACTGCAAATTGCATGCATTGGAATGTCAGTGCTTGGCTTCAGAAAGCCTACCTGTCAGATCTGGCTCAGCTTAGATTCCTAAGTAAAGCGATTCTTAGGTGCATTTGTTGCAAAAGGTATAGCTTTATTAGAAGTCAAATGAATTGCAGTAAAGCAAAGCCAGAACTGAAATTTGCACACCAAATCATCAAGTATAACTTTCCCCCTCTTTGGCATTTTCCATTTCCCATCATTTAATTTCAAAGAAGATGTTTTTGAAAAGGTCTTTTTAAAGTAGCCATGGACATGATAGACCCTTTGCCACAATCCCAGAAAGGCAATTAATATATTCTAGTTTTCTATGATTATGCAACTTAATATGCCGAAGCAGTTTCATTACGGAATGTGACAGCCAAAAGAATAGAAGTTGGTAAATTTTTAGTGTTAGATAGGCATTCAAATGACATCATCACAAACCAAGGGTCCAATTTCCAATCAGCACTGCTTAAATATCTTATGTATATCTAGGAATAAAAGGGGTTATATATCAGCCTCTTTCATGCACAAGTCAATGGCCTTGCTGAAAGGATGAATTAGACCCTAAAAACTATGCTCAAGGAATATTCACGCCAAGACCCCAAGATTGAGATACATAGCTGTCTTTTCTATTGTTTGCATATAAGGAAAATCCCCAGACATCCTTGGGATTTAGACATTTTGAGCTACTTTATGGGAGACAACCTAGAAGAATTTTCGACATTATTAAAGAAGACTGGTGTGAAAATGTGGAAGGCCCTAAGAATTGAATATATTAATGTAGAGGAATATTAAAAGCCCTAGGATGCATTGCCCATTTAGAAAGAGTCAGGAAGGCCAGAAAGGACATTATGATAAGGATTTAAAGGCAAATGATTTAATGTAGGAGACCAAAAGTGTTATTGCCTGGTAAGAAAAGCAAATTACAGGCTAAGTGTCAGGTCCCTCCATTATAAATAGAAGAACTAGGGCAATCGGAAGACACAAAAAAGAAAAAGCTGCCATGCTAACCTCCTGAAGAAATGGCACCTGGGATGGCTTTGCTTGCATTAAAATGGACAAGTGATGCTCTGCATATATATCTGAGATTGGTAATTCACTATGGTGACTATCAATAAATCACCTGGCTGCAATAAATGAAAAATATCAATTAACCAGATGATATCTCACATTATAATATCATAAATTGGGTGGGGCAGCTATTGTGATATGAGAAAGACTCAGATATGGTATTAGTCTTATCGAGAGAGAGAGAGATATATATTTTTTTTTTAATTCAAAGGGGTGAAGTATGTGAGAGAGCAGGCTGCCCAGAAAACAGCCAGCACTTGTGTTGCTTTTATCCTGGCTCTTTTAACCATCTTCCCAGCCAGCATGGCAGCATTGGCTATAAAAGTTGTGCTGAAGAACTGAGGTAGTGATGATGAGAGAAGGTATGTGTCTATGTATGACAGTAAACCCGCCTGAAGCAGGAGAGAAATAAATTTCATTAGCACCACTCACAAGTAGTAGTAGTAGAAATCTCAAATAGTAGTTGTGGTAGCAGTGGGGTCAAGTAGCAGTAAATAATATCTTGTGAATTGTGCCTATTTTCTAGGGACTTGTATTGATTCTTTTGTATTTTCAGCCCTCTTTGAGTTCATTTAATCTGCTGGGCATGTCTTGCATCCCTAGAGAGCCCAAACAACTGAATTTACTGCCTTAAATCAAGCTTATTGTATTGCCAGGGACAAAACTGTTAAAATATTCACCGAAATACTTAGCAATATCTTCTAAGCACAGATAGTGCTTGACTTGTGATCACAATTGAGCCCAACATTTCTGCTGCTAAGCAAGAATTGTTAAATAAGTTTTGTCCCATTTTAGGATCTTTCTTGCTAGTTAAGTGAATCAGTGTAGCTATTAAATTAGAAATACGATTGTTAAATGACTCTGGTTTGCCCATTGACTAGTTAGGTTGCAAAATGTGATCACAAAACCATGGGACACTGCAACCATAAATATGAACTGGTTGCCAAGCTTCCAAATTTTGATCACATGATCATGGGGATGCTATAACGGTCATAAGCATGACAAGTCACTTTCAGTGCTCTTGTAACTTTGATCACTAACGAATGATTATAAGTTGAAGACCACCTGTATGCTTTTGGTGTTTGCCATGCTACAGGTACCTTATGGAAGCTGAGAGGATTTTGTACCACCTTATACTGCCAGATTGCTCACTCAAACCTAATTGTTTCTTCTTTGGATGCACATATTTTATTACTAAAGGCAATCACTTTGCTGATTAGATTGCTAGATTGGCTACTCAGCAATGTTGTTTCATTCAGCCTTTACATCTGTTTCAAGTTCCCCCTGGTATTGGTTATGAAAAGTTTCTTTCAGTTGCTGGGACTGCTACTTGCACTGTCTTTTGAAGCTTCTTGGGAGAGTTTCTTCTGGATGGTTCCTAATGCACAACCAATTGCTACATATGCTTTTCTTAGTCTTCTGGCTCAACAACTCTTGTATACGTGAAAGGACATGGTGGTACCCAAGCTATTGAAGACTGGCTTGCTCCTGGAGCTTTGTGGAAACCTCCAAGGCCAAGGACTCCCAAAGGGATGGAGGTATCTCCCTGCCACCTCAGTTAATCCATGGGCAAGGGCAATGAAATAACTTCCAGTTTCTATCCTTATAGAAACAAGCATAAGCACTCTGGAGGGCAGTATGAGTGACCAGAAACATCCATTCCAGGTGGAAGTATTTATGCTGCTTATAAATTCCACTGCAAGCCGATCAAATCTGGGAGGGTTCATTCTAGATTTTAATGGTTCTGTGAAGCCACTGTCCTTGTGAAACAGAACCAAATGGTCAAATTGTTACCTGGAATTGCAGGCCTCATTATTAGCTTTTTAATAAAGGTGATATTCGCATTTAGTATGGCATGAAGTTCAGGAAATCATATTTTCTTTTTTAGCCAAAACCATTTATTTCTTTTATATGCAAATATTAACTTTTTTGGAGACTAAACAAATAAGGAGCATAGTCTGAAGTCCTTATGTATTGCAAGTATTAAAAAAACAAGCCCGATGGGAAAGCAGAAGATGCAACAAATTTTAATTGTGTCTAACCTATGTTTACTTAATGTGTTATTGTTTGATCAGTTGCTTTTTGCACATCACATATACAGAACGTTATGTAGCATTTGGTTATTTCTGTACCCTGTATAAAGACCTGACCTTCCTAAATAAATGCTTTTTGCTTTGCCTGAATTACTTGGTAATTTGTATTTTCGGGTGGACAATAAAGCTCCTTTGCATAGGTAAAAGTTTCTTTTTCAGGGATCAAGTTTCTTACCAGCTTCAAGCTAAACGTGGGTGCTATGTTTCATGGCAACAGAATTAACTCATGTTTCTAGCTAATATTCTGAAAAAGAAAAGCAATGTTTCAGAAAAATATAAACTGTACGGAGATTTCATTAGAATTGTATTTTAACAATATGCAAAAAACTATAACTATTTTGAACTACTGTTCATAATAAACTTTTTTTACTGTACAAAGAAATTGGTAATTGTTCTGCATTTGTATGCAGTATATCAGGGGTATCAAACTGCCGACCCCGGGCCAGATGCATCACGCGGAAGCCATGCCCACCCCATTGCCGGCAATGGCGAAACAGTCCCGATACGTTGTGTGACATCATGTGACATCGCGAGTTTGACATGTCTACAGTATATGATCTAAACATTTTAAATGGTCCTAAACCACAAATATGTATTTTTCTTTATTCAGCATTTTCATTTATGGCTTTCTAATAATAAAATGATTAAAAAAGGAAGTAGACTGCTTAGAAAACATACTGAAACATATTGAACAACAAATCCTTTTTCCAAATCTGTATTTTCATTTCATTTTGTGGCAGTTTCTTGAAACAAAACAAATTCTTCAGAACTTAATCATCTGGCTCATATCTATGAAAGTAAAATAGAGAAATGCTTAGATGTAAATTTTCATACTACACATTTTGATTTCACATTACAATAGCGAAATTAATCCATTATTTGTATAAATAGCATTTGTTGGAAGAGTCACATTCCCCTAGAAAAAACAGGCCCACAACCTGGGAGCATATTTATCTATTTAATTGATTGACAGGATTTGGATGGCTTACTATTTTATATAATGATTCTAGGTTTTTGGCAACAATGCATAAAAACAAATTAAAATTGATTTTTTTAAAAATTATCATGATTTAGTAAAACCAAATATCATTAATAGAAAAAAACACAGAACATATAAAAAATTCAAGTGGAGGACTTCCACTTCTGGATTGTGGCACGTTCAGTCGTACGAAGAGACCTCTCTCTTCATTGGCTGTTTTCCCTCCGCCGGTAGACCCTTATGCGGATCTTAAATCACCTGGAGGGGCGACTACCGTTGAGGAGGCTTTTGCTCGGCTGCAGTGGAGTGGCGGCTCCCCCTGCAGTCCGAGCTAACTCAGTAAAATGGCCGATCACTTAGCTGCGCCAGCCGAAGTCAGAAAATCATCTAAGCATAAAGAACCACCGAGGTGAATCTGGGTGAGACCTTTCCTCCCGCTCTCTGTCCTGACTATTTGCCTGTAAAAAGTTTTTGATCACTTCCCTGGCTTAAGAGAGCAGCGTCTGTCTACTTGGGAAAGAAAGTTTTAAAAGAACTAAAATAGTTAAAGTTTTATTGACTACTTGATTTTTCGCTTTGGATACCAGGGGCCCTGAAAAAATAAAAAATAAACGCTATATTTTTTACTTTATCTATTATACCGGAGATACTTGCTTTTGCTTTTTCTGTTTCCCGAAAGAGATAAATTTTTACCTATTTGGAAGAAAGAGTTTACAGTCCACTGAGGACATCTTGTGGCAAAAAGTGCCAATACAACTGTATTTTCTTTTGCTATTTGAAGATGAATTTGACCTTCAAATGATAACAAAATAGAAAAGATAAAAGATTTGCAACAGCTGTGGTGAATTTGCTTATTAGAATTTTGGAGGTGGATAATCAAGTGGAGGACAACCACTTACTTTGAAAGCTTCTTTCGTAGCTCTTTTATCTGCTCATTCTTTTTTGAGAGAATCTCCTTCATATTGCGATAGGCAGCAGTTTGTTGGAACTTCTTTTCTAATTCCTATGAATTTTGAATTATTAAAATATTATTTTAAATATACTATATTTGCATTATACTAGCATTAAATCATTCAAAATGCCAGTATCTACAAATACATGAAAAATAAGTATATTTGTACAACAAAACAGTTTAGTTTAGCAAAGTACTTCATGTAAAAAGACTAATCAAAGTTATAAAGTATTGCATTATTTAAAATTATAATATGCTGAAGCTAATTTTCATGATTACAATCAACATGGGATTAAAATAATTTCTTTCCAGATAATAAAAATTAAAGTTGAAAAAAGGCCACAAATGTAGTTGGTAAAACAAACCTTTTCAGCCAGAGCTAATTGGTCTTGAACCTTAAGTAAGTCATGTTTTGTTGACACCAGATTCTCTTCCAAGGATTTTTGGCTTGCAGTACTATCTTGCAGTGTTTTCTCAAACTGACACTTCAAATTAGCCATAGTATTTTCTAGTTCACTAACATCCTGAGTCACGTTAAACTGAAAAAAGGATATATGATTATTGAGAAAATAAATATCTAGCCAAATATTCATTTTACAATAATGTGTTTGTGTGGGTATAAAATATCTATTTGCATAGATACGAGGAGAAGGGCGGGATATAAATCCAAATAATAAATAAATAAATAAAAATAAAATGTATACCTACATGCCCCTTTAAAAAAACTGAAGTTCTTAGATATAAAAATACATGCAATATATTCCTTTGTTAGAATATTGACCAATACAGATAGTCCTCAGAATGGATGCTGCATTTGCAGCCATAGTCAAAGGTTATACCAACCCACCCACCAGGGTTATTTGACTGCCTTTTGGGTGCTTGGCAATCTGTTTGCATTTATGACTAAGGTCTTCTCAGGTTGCCAAGTGCCCTGCAATAATGTAATCACCATCTGCAATCTTCTCTGCCACCTTCCCTGGAAAGTCAGTTGGGAAGCTGGCAGGGAAGGTGGCAAGCAGAGAAGACATTACATTTGAGGTCCATTCCCCTGGCAAGCCAAGGGATTTCCTATGCCTTCTGTGCAGAAATTCTCCTGCACATTGAAGGAGCAGACCTCAAATCTGGCAAAAATGCAACAAATGCCAGCATTCTGAGCCTTCTAGAATGGTGGCATTCACTACTGTTTTCCCTCTTCTCTGGAAGGTTCAGAAACGTTCCAGAAGGGAAAATGCCAGCAAACAATTCCAGAGGAGAAATCCCGTGGCACACTGGAGAAATGGCCCCAAATCTGGCAAAAACATTAGTGAATGTCAATATTTGTACAACTGTTCTTTTAAGTAGATTTGGGGAGAGAGTTTAAGCTCAAGGTGTGATGAAAGGCCTGGGTCCTCCCTGCCCATGCCTAGGAGACTTAGGCGCTCTCCCTGGCAGTCCACTTAACAATCCACACAGCTGCTTAATGACCACAACTGAGGGAGCTAGGACTGATGTCATTGGGTGAAGCAGTCAAGTGGCATCTTGCTTAATGATCGCTTCGCTCAATGACTGAGATTCCTGGTCAAATGTGGTCATAAGCAGAGGACTACTTGTATTCTTACATAGAATTTCATACAAATAAACCCAATCCACAGATACTGTAGAAAACCTATAGTCATAAAATTCAATGGAATCAATGGCATAATATTTGTTAACATTTATAAAATTTTAAATGAAAAAATTATATTGATAGCTTTAAGAGAAAAGGGGAAAACACATGAAACAAATTCACAAACAGTATTAGGCAAATTTACTTTTTAAAATAAAGTAACATGGAACTTATGAATGATTCATAAAATGAAAATTTATTTATTGTTATTAATATTTCTAAAATGATAGACTTATATACAATATATAAAGTTGTATTAGTTTCAAATTTGCATTTGATTCTATTGCTACAGAAAACTTGCAGGTACATCTTTAGGAATTACCCAACTGACAAGCTGGGTAACCAAATGGCATTAATGAGGCATACACAGCAATCCGAAGGTTCTCCTACGAAAAGAAGCAAGATTGTCATGGCAGTCTTTAAATTATTCATTGTCATAGCATTGACCAAACTTTTTAGGGACCTCAGTTAGGCAAAGATATAACATTCAATGCCACTTTATTAATGTGAGGAAAATTCAAATTTCAGAGATCTGCAACAAGATATATATTTAATGCTAAAACTGGACAACCATTTGCTCAGGATTGCATGAAAATTCCTTCATTGAACAGGGGGTTGGACTAGAAAACCTCCAAATACTCCTCCAACTCTAGAATTCTATATTTAGTGTTATAACGAATTTCAGGAACTGAAGAAAGTACATGGCTTTTCATTTTCAAGCAATGGCGTTCTTTTAAGTGTTGCTGATATTTCCAAACAAAAAAATTCATATGAAAATACTGTTATATGACACAAGTGGTACCCCATATATGGAATAAGCATGAGTATTCTGTAATAATTTTAAAATTTACTCTACAGAAAAATTATTTGGATTTCATGGTGGATTTATCTGGATTTATCATTTTTTTATATGTTTTATTGATTTTCTAATTTTACATTTAAGTATTCAAAAAGCAACGTGACGGCTGGGCCAATCAATAATACAATAACATAAAAATATCTTCAGTAGAAATCTCAAGCTACTACATCAAATTTTTCCTCTCTTTTCCCCTCAGTATTCACTGTCTCCTGTCTAAACTAATACAATTCTTATTAAATCGATTAAATAAAAATGACGTTTTTATATTTATCAATGATTTTTGGCTTATACATATCCTTATTATTTTAACATTCAGTTTTTATAGACAATCAATGTCCTAATTAGTTTCCCCCAATTTTTAATTTCTCATTAATGTTTAACTTTAACATTTAGTACTTATAATTTCCAAGTTTTAAGTAATCAAAATTCCCATTATCACAACTCATCACAAAATCTAATATTCACTTCTTATCTATTTGGATATATTCTATTTCTCACCATCTTACACCAACTAATTGATAATACAGTATAACATTCTTATTTTCTATTAATTTCCAAACATCTTAAATTTAGTAACCAAATTTTCTGTTATTTCCTCTCTTTTTCTCTTAATGTCTATTTATCTCATATTGGAGCTAGTTTTTATTATATCAGCTAAGTGAAAACATGTTTATTACATATATATATTTTCAAAATTTGGATTTTGAATACAGGCAAGTTATAAAGCTAAAAATTCGACTCTTGGGTAAATCCATGATAAAACCAATAAATATCGATCACCAAGAGGAAAGTAACAAATAGTAAAAAATTTAATGAGCTTGGCTCATTAAATTTTTTACTATTTGTTACTTTCCTCTTGGTGATCGATATTTATTGGTTTTATCATATATATATATATATGTATGTATGTATGTATGTATGTATGTATGTATGTATATGTATATATACATATACATACATACATACATACATACATACATACATTAAATTTTTTACTATTTGTTACTTTCCTCTTGGTGATCGATATTTATTGGTTTTATCATATATATATATATATGTATGTATGTATGTATGTATGTATGTATGTATGTATGTATATGTATATGTATATATATTATCTTGAGTTTTGGTGCACCCTGTCGGCCCAAATATGGGAGAAAGGAATCTTTTGCTTGTATCAGCTCAAACTAGAGCCATCCACAGGCTTAGCAGTCGCAACTGCGACATTATATGTGTTTTTCAAAATTTGGATTGCTAACAAAGAATTAAGGGAGAACTGGAATAGCCATTTCGAACTTTTTAGTTCTTTTCAACCAGACATACCCTTCTGAGATTTGAACCTGGGCTGTTTGCATGTTAGGCAGATGTATGTATACTGTATATACCAGTGGTGGCGAACCTATGGCACGGGTGCCAGAGGCGGCACTCAGAGCCCTTTCTGTGGGCACGAGCGCCATCACCCGAGTCCTAGGCCTTCAGCTGGGTTTTATAAAACCTTTTCGCTTTAGGCCTCCGCCACCGTGTGGAAAAAAAAAAGGTTCAGTCAATTTCAACTTCTCGCGGGGAAAAAAAAGATCTTGCAAAGTTGGAATTGATTGAACTTTTTAGTCCCACCCAGTCTGCCGTTACCACTGCAGCCACGCCCACCCAATGGGCTACGCCCATCCAATGGGCCACACCCACCTGGCACTCGATATATATATATATATTTGTTTTCGTAGATTTTCACTGGTACAGGTATATAGGTCTTGGCGTATTCGGGTCTTTTCCCGTGTAAGATTGAGAGTATCTTGGTGACGTTTCGACGAGGTCCCACTCGTCATCTTCAGGCTGGGGTCTTCGGCTTCGTGCTTGTGCAAGCAAAGTGTGATCGGAGCTGCCGTCTCTCTATAAATATTGGTGGGGGTGTGTGGAGTGCTGGCTAACGACCTTTGTAATGGGTTGTGTGATTACCCATTACCCAGGTCGTTATAACACAAAAGACTAATGGGCACACAGCCAGCCAAGTACTCAGGATGTTACGAAACAGCTGAACATTTCACAAACAATAACAGCCAACCAATCCACCTACAGCAAACAATAACAGCCAACCAATCCACACAGCCAACCAATCCACCTACAGCAACTAAGCCAGCACTCCACACACCCCCACCAATATTTATAGAGACGGCAACTCCGATCACACTTTGCTCGCACAAGCACGAAGCCGAAGACCCCAGCCTGAATGAGGTTTTTGCAGGTGTTTGTATGTAGGTCTTTAGTTATTCGGGTTTTCTCCCGCATAGAATTAGAAGTGTCTTGGCGACGTCGAAACGTCAAAACGTCGCTAAGACACTTCTAATTCTACACGGGAGAAAACCCGAATAACTAAAGACCTACATATATATATATATATGTGTGTGTGTCTTAATTAGCTTTTACATTCAATCTTTATAAACAAATCAATATTCAAATTTAACTTTTAATATTTATACTTCCAAATTTTCTTCAGCCTTCTGCTAGCTTTCTTTGCCAACTCGCCTTCCATATCTGTGCTTTTAAATCATCATATAGATCTCCCTCTATTATTATGTATATTGTTTGAAATAAGAAAGGCCATCCAATCACCATTTTTTTAAAGGGGCTAATAAATCATCTCTATTTTTCTCTCTTGGCGTAGTTGTCCTGAAATGTTTATCTTCCCTTCGATCTATTCTTCTTCTTGATCCTCAGGTTTCTTCTGGTTTATATATAAAGTCTTTTCCATTTTCAAAGTTGTCAATCCCTTTTCTGAGTTTTCCATTAACTGTACTTGTTGATCAGTTGAATCTTCTATCATAGTATTTAATTGCTCCATTTCTTCTGTTATATTCTGTGTAGTCAATTCTTTGGTTGTAATTAAAGTTTGGGTTTGTATATCTAGGCTGACATCTTGTTCTTTTCTGTAGCCTCTTATTTCATCAGTGGCTTTAAGAATAGTTTCATGAATTGCTTTCAGATAAATAAAATCTGTTCCTGATCTTCACCCATGTTCTCTTAATGGTGTGAATTAAAAGCTTTACAATCAGAAAGTGAAAATAATTTTATCACTGAGTATAGAACACAGCTGAGTTTCTCACAGCTGATTGCCAAGGTTACGAAAGTCTTATCTAAAGTCTGGGCTTCAAGCCAAGTCTCTTCTAGACAATAACAGATTGCAATATCAGGTTTAGCCACAAGATGTCGCCCATACCGTTTAGGATTTTTTTAAAATCCAAGGTTTTTATAGTCCTTTTTCCAATTTTACTTCTTTTTTGTAAATAAAACCCAAATCTTCAATAAGGATAGGAAATCATTTAGTCCTCAAATTTTAGAAAGATAAAAGTCCAGTTAAAACCAGGTTATTGTTTCAATGTTTTAAACTCCCCTGGATAGTCAATCGCTACTATTTTTAGAGGGTGGGATAAAGTTTCCCTTCCCTCTCTCCACAGGGGGGCAGCTTATACAGGTGGAAAAAATAATTCAGATTAAAGAGAGGTTCAGATCTCACCCAGTCTCATCCATGCTGCTTTATAGGTGCCTGGTAGTAAGTTTGACTTCTGCTGTCTGCAGCCTAGTGATGAGCCATATTGGTATGGCCGATCTTTCGTCTGCCAGTTTGGAGGGCTGCGCCGGATCAAACGGAAGGGCTACTGCCCTCCCGTGATCAAGCGGGAATCCCCTCCTTGCTGGTTGCTACAGAGCGACATTCGACCCTTTCCAGGGTCCTCCAGTGATGCAAAATCGGACGTGGAAGACGGAGCTCGCCTTCCAAACGTCCGCGGCATCCGTGGCGGCAAACCAGAAGTCTGGATTTATCCTACTTTATTTCATTTGTTGAATTTATTTCAATTCTACTGATTCCTACTGTATTGGAAACTATTTTTAGCTTATTTGAATCATTTTGATTTTTCTCAACTGACATCACAAAAGGGCTTCAATACAAGGAGCTGAATATTGTACAAAGTTTGGTAATTGTCAGAATATAATGGTATTTAATGAAATGTTATTAAAGCCTACAATGTCTTTGCTTTTTTATTGTGTTGCACATATTTTATTAATTTATTTATATTCTATTAGTTCTTTGAACAATTGAATATCCTTTCCTGAATTTGTTTAATTAAAAACTATTTTTAAACATAAATTTTACTTTTGAAAAAAGAGCCAGCAGGGGCAAAATAAAAAAAAAGATTCAACAAGTCTAGAGGAAATTAGTGGGACTGTGGAGAAACTGGTGTTTGTTTATCAGAAATCAAAAGCCTATTCATAATGAACAGTTAAATTAACAACAAAAAGCTGACTTGAATTAATGTTTTCATTCATCTGTTTAATTGGGTTATCTTTATCTAGTTTTAAGATTTGTGTAATCAAATTTTAGAGAATATTTATGCAGAAATACTGAAAATTCAAAAGGGGGTTCACAAACCTTTATGCATCATTGTATCTTTGAGAGACATATATTTAAAAAGGCAGTGTTAATTTGCTAAATACAAGGATTCAGATCAAAAATTATGGTGGAAAAAAATGGAATAGCTGTGTATATTAGGAATATCATGGAACCTAAAAAATTAGGATGAAGCAGGGAGATTGTTATTACTATGGCTTAAAATTGGACTATACTGCAGAACATTATATTAATTAATTAAGTTCACCGTAAGATTTTGAAACACAGCTAAAATAATTTTCATGGAATAATCTTATCAAAACAGTTGTAGTTATTTGATATGGTCTAAAAATATTTTTTACCTTTTGATCCCCCTGAGCAATCTGTAAATTCTGTAAAGCCTTTTCTAACTTTGATTTTTCATCCAGTGCATTTGTAGCCTGCAATAGATTTGAAAATTCAGATCAAATCTTATTTTAAAAAGATGCATCCATCCATTATAGAAATAGTTTACCATTTTCTTCTTCTGATTATATTAATCTATCTATCCATCTATGGTAAAGCCTCAATCTAACAGATTATTTTGGGTAAAGAAAGTTAAATATGAATATATGTAATTAATTGAGAACTGCATCATTCTGTCTTTTGCATATTGCACAAAATTGTGTCATTTCTGTAGCAATCTACATCATTTGTGAAATCAAGTCATTATATAAATTAAATTGATTCAAATTAACATAATATAATCTAATTTAACATAAATTTAAGTATCTTTAGATACAACAGATTTTTCTGGAATATCTAGATGGAAATGTCCACTGCACCTCAGATCTACTAAATGAAGGTCTGTTAAATAAAAGTAATACTTGATTTATCAAAGGATTTTACCTGCAGCTCTATTGTCTTTAATCGAGTCTTCAATTTTTCATTTTCTTCATGAAGTCTTGCAATTTCCTGCAGGCAAAATATCAAACAAACTGTAGAAATATTTAAAGATATTTTATAGGATCATTTATCACAGCCTGAAAAAGATAATGCTTGTGTATACTGCACCAGTACATAGAGATTGTCTGTTTAATTAGTGTGGATTTTCTCTCAACATAGTAGCTTTTTAATTATTATTTAAATTAAGTTTTTTTACCACTGTTGCTAAGTGAGAAATTTGTTAAGAGAGTTTTGCTCCATTTTACAACTTTTCTTGCCACATTTGTTAAGTGAAACACTGCAGTTGTTAAATTAGTAAAATGGTTGTTAAGTGAATCTGGTTTCCCCACTGACTTTGCTTGAAAGAAAGTTGCAAAAGTGATCACATGACCCTGGACACTGCAACTGTCATAAATGTGAGTCAGTTGTCAAGCATCCGAATATAAATCATGTGACTATGGGGATACTGCCATGGTCATAAATGTGGAAAATATTCAGAAGACACTTTTTAATGCCATTGTAACTTCCAACAATCACTAAGGAAACTTGTAAGTTGAGGGCTACCTGTATTTCCAAATTATTTGTGGATTTTTCTTTTTTTCAAGTATGCTAAAATACAGAGAATTTGTTTTTACAATTAATCAGTCATTAGCAGTTTAAAGTTATTACTAGAGATTACTTAAACTTCTATAGCTTGAATAATAATAAATACATTTAGTTCAATTGATAACTAGTTACAATGAGTGAAGTGAAGCAATTATTATATGAATGAAGTGTCACCTTGTTTAGTAATTCTGATGCTCCCTCATGCAATGGAGTAAGTTTAGTTTTAACCAACTCTGGATTCAGCTAAAAAGGAAAAAAAATACAAATCAAGTGTCTCTAACACAATATAAACCTATTCAGAAGTTGGATCTCCTGAGTCAAACTAATTTTAAGGTGTATTCATAAAATTAATATTTAGTAATTATTGTTCATCCTCTTATTGTGATAGGAAAAAATCATTTCTGGTTAGCATTTGCAATCAGACAAGATCACACACATAAATTGTATTTATCAAAAAGAGATATAAATTAAAATAATACCAAAGATAAAAAACAGAAATCAAATTCTGTTTTGCAATTAAAAACAGATTAGAAAGATTGCTTGCTTTACATCTTCCAAGTGATTTTTCTCTGATTCTACAGAATTCGACAGAATTTTAAACAAATTCTGAATGTATCCTTGGATTTGAACTGGTAAGCAAAAAACTACCCTATGACATCCTTTGGTAATATTTGAAGGATTCTTGAAATGGGCAATCTCTTGGCCATGGAAGATATATTTTGCTGATTTCACCTCCCAAAGTAACAAAGGTAAATTGTAATGCCATAGGTAGTTTACTACAGAAATAATAGATTGGCCTCAGAAAACAATTTACTTAACTGGGTAAATTAGACCTATCCAGCTGGTAAAACTGCTAAAATCTCCCCTTTAATATTGGCTCCAGCATTTTCCAATCCTATTGCCAATAGTGGCCTCAAAGAGACTCTATATGACCTATGAAAGTAACTTTCTGTATTATTTTTCCATAAGTTACAATTAAGTTGAATTCGGCTACTTCCTCCTGCTGTCTGGTCACATATCCAGACTTGAACACAGTAAGCACCCAAAATACTTTGTATTGATTTGTGCTACCTGTGCTACATTTACTGATAAGGAAAGGAGACATTTATTTAGTATTAAGTCTGTCCAGGGGCACTAACTAACCAATGCAGAAGACATTGAGGAAGGTATAAGTTATTGTACAGAAATTAACAGAACAAAATAAAAAGTTGTATTAACCATAGAGCCAGATACTAAACTAATCAAGGCAGTAAAAAAAACTGCTCAGGACAAAAAATTAGATTACAGTCTTATACTAATTTTTTATAAAATCCTCAGGACCCATACATGTACCCATTACAACATAAACCCAGAGATATTTTTTTAGTTTGGCCACTCTTTTAGAAATAGTCATACCTTCTTATTTGGAGATGTAAATTCTGATTTTTCAAACTCAGCAACTTGTTCTAATAAATCCCTTGAAAAAAGCAATAAACGTTTTAGTTAAATCTATTGAACATTAAATTACATTCAGTAGATGGCAGAATCTGTCAGTTAACCTTGGTTGATCTCAGATGCTAAGTAGATGTAAGAGAAGGACAGGCAGAGTCAGAGAGAGAGATGAAAAGGGGGATCAGCCTAGATAACTATGTAGCCACCAAGTATGTCTAACCCCCCCAACCCCACATGACTGCCATTGACCCTTATCTGACTCTAGACCAGGGGTTCCCAACGGAGGTGCAAGATGATATTCCAGAGGGTGCAAAAACTTGGGTTTTCAAATTATAGTATATATGCATAATTCGTTGCTATTATTTTGAACTTTTGTAAAGGGTGCGAGAATATATCAGAAGCGTTCTAGGGGTGCAGATTACAGAAACAGTTGGGAGCTGCTGCTCTAGACAAATACTGACTATAAGATGAGAAGATTTATATACATAAGCTTTCAGTAATAAAGCAGTTAAATTGACCCTTCAGGTATGGACCTGTTCTTTTGTGCCGGATACTAGATTTTGGATGGGGGTGCACCTGAGAACTCCAGGGTTGTTAGCTAGATTTGAGAGTAAAAAAGTAGCCTAGAAAAAGCAGTGGCAAACAACCTTAGCAATAGTGCCAATGTAAATGCAAACACATGGTTACTAGGATTTGAGCTTATCTTGAGGGTGTCTTTGTAATATAAACAGGAAACAATGAGACGTCTCAAATGAAAACATTGTTTTTGAGAGTAAGAAAATTAAAAACAAAACTTTTGAGAGAATAAGCTTTACTGAGCAAACTAGATCCACTTCTAAATAAACAGCGTTGGGACTCTGCTATCAATTATTATATCAATGTACTGGATTGACATTATGAATGAAGAAAAAATATATACAGGTAATCCCTGAGTTATGACAGTTCACTTTGTGACCATTCAACGTTACATGATAACCCAAAGTATTTATAACATAATCCCAAAATTACAAATGTTGCAGCACCACGGCAGTTGTTCACCAATGATCACAGAGGCATTGCAACATCCACCCTGGCTATTACCTCGCCTGTTCCCCACAATTGCTTTCCCCCTCCCAATCTGTCGCACTGGGTCACTTACCTTGTGAAGATCTGTCTCCTCTCTGCCAGTTTCTTTGATGATTTTGCTTCCAGCATCTGATTGGTCTGCAAAAACTTTTTGCATGCCAAGAGTGAAATGTTCTGGGCGCTGTGATCTCACAGGACTTCAGGCACCCAGAAGTTTCCAATCTCCGTGCTAAATGTTTGCAAGCCGATGGGACACTTTGAGGCAGTGAAATTGCACTGCCTCAAAAGTGTCGTGTTGGCTTGCAAACATTTTGGGCCAAGAGTGAAATGCCTGAAATCCCTAGAGATCACAGCACCCAGAACAAGCTGATGAGACACTTTGAAGCAGCACAATTTTGCACCTCAAAAGTGTCCCATTGGCTTGCAAACATTTTGCGCAGAGACTGGAAGCTTCTGGGCACCATGATCTCATGGCCTGAAGTCCCATGAGATCATGGCACCCAGAATATTTTACTCTCAGCGTGTGAAAAGCATTTGCAAGCTGATCGGATGCTGGAAGCAAAATCATCAAAGAGACCACAGCAGAGAGGAGACAGGTCTTCATAAGAAGAGATAGATCTTGGCAGGGTGGGGAGGGAAGCAACTGCACGAGATATCATGCAATTAGAAGCCTTGGGTGATTTTAAGCAGGTTGCCTGTTCCATCACTAGCCCTCCCCCATGGCTTTCCCCACCTTGATATACCTCATGTGCACTTAATGACCTGCGCATTCAATTAGCAAATGTGTGGGTGATAGGAGGGAGTTTTCACATTCATTTGATGTGATTCACTCCAACGAATCCTCGGGTTACAAATGTAATTGGCAGGCTCCATTACATTCATAACTCAAGGACTACCTGCATTAATAACAGTATTTAAAATCTATGAAGTTATCTTTAAAGTTCTCACCTATTTTCCAGTTCTGAAATGTCAGTCTGCAATTTAAGACACCATTTCTCTGCCTGGGAAAAGATTTGTCGTAAAAGTAATACATTGGTGTAAGTTGTATTAATAAGTTCTGATTCCACCTCACTATGCACTACAGTTTGTAAACCATCCAGGATATCTGTCACTTCATCAACAGTGAATGTATCTTCCACCAGCCTAAAGAGGAGAATCCAGAAATAGATTGATTTTAAAAACTATGCTAACTATTCCAAAAACATTTTTTGAAAAGCATAGTTCATGTGGACATTCCATTTCACTAAATATAGGCAACATATAATGCAAGTCAGATTTATTCATAAATTTATTCAGAATTTATTCAGCAGAACTAGCAAAAAACCAGCACAAATTCATAGTCTCAGAGGCTATTACTCATTTCATCAATAAATAGCAGTGATGAAACCTATACTCCATTAAAAATATAATTTCTAAATTTGTGAGTAATTTACTTATTTATTTTATATCACTCTATATACAGGTAGTCTTTGACTTTCAACCACAATTGGGATCAGAATCTCAATCACTGAGGGCAGCATTGTTAAGCAAGATGTCCACGTTACTACCCATATGACTGTAATCCTAGCACATGTGGTTGAAATCATTAAGCAACTGCACAGGTTGTTAAGTGGATAGAATCTCAGTTAAGGACCCTGGGGTACCTTAGGGTAGTGAGAAAAACCCTAGAATGCTCTGCTCAAGAGCTGAAAATCTTCTCTGCCAAATCCAAGCAGGATTTTCAGGATGTTAGTGTATCATTTTGCAATAGTCAGAAGTGCTTTATGCGCTGTAATTATGAAGCCATCATAATTCCAAACCATCATTAAATAAATGGTGGTAAATCAAAAACTGTGTTCTTGCTCATCTTGCAACTGTGACACTTTCCATTGGAATTACATTTAAATAAAATTATGATTGATATATGGAAGAGAATTGCTTTTGCATGAATGTGAGTGATACCATCATCAAATTTTAACTTGTTATATTTTCTCATACTTCATTAGGGAATTTCTGAAGATAGCTATTCAAACAGTGATGGATTATGATGGACAGTAGAAACCAGTAAAGTAGTCCTAAGTGCACAAAATAAATAAAGGGCAAAATCATAGCAATGGTTAGAAAATTAAAGAATTTTAAATATTCCATTTTAAAATGGTACTTTTGAAACAAGCTGCATTTGAAACAAATAATTGCAAATTATAATTAATTAATAAGAGGTACAATTTTGTCTTTCATATTTAAATTCTGTAATAGGCATGAGATTATATTTTTATAACACTTTTTCAGGCAAATACAAATACACTTAATAAAATAACAAGCTGGAAACATTTTTAACATAAGGAAGGAAAGAAACTACAAGAAGAGAGAAGGGTCAGTTAATAATGATGGCTATATATAAATATGCCAGAATTTGGCCTCCCATTTTATTAAAAAGAGAGGTGTTGGGAGTCAATTCTAAGTACTGATTTTAATCAATATTGAAGTAATTATATAAGAGACTAATAACAAATGCAATATAGAAAGAGACTATATACATACTGACTGTAGTCTTTTGGATTCAATGGCAAAAATGAGATTTTGATTCATATAGCATTCATTAAAGCAACAGTGTCTTTTCCCAGTACTGTATTGTGTGAGAATAGTGCTTTAAAAATTGTGGAAATGGGACTGAGCACTGTCAACCCCCCCTCTAAAAATGGCTATGACTCTATGATTGAAGTCATACACCTTTTATGTGTATGTTACACAACCACAGCTGCCATCTTGAATATTGGACATCCTATGCACACATTCCTGGTTGCAGACTAATATGTGCATGCTTGATTGTGCTCCAAAGTACCTTTTTACCTTTGAATTCAAAGTGTTGCAGACTTTAATACATATCAGCCAAATATTTATTTTGTAAAGCAGTCCACATGTTATCTGGCATAAATGTTCAAAATAAAATTAAAAAGATTTAAACTGAACATGAGGATGCTTCCAAATCTCATGCATGGTTGCAGTATTGTTAAATTTCTCTTCATACTGGTAAATATGATCATGCTCCAATTAGAGTATGCATTTTTGACAGTATGTTTAAAGAATATTGCTAAAATTGGCCTCTGAGGTAATTTTTCCCATTCTCGTATTACCTGCTTTCCTTAAGGTCTTGAAAACAAGAGTCTACTGTCTTAAGGCGGAGACCACGTTTAGAGCGTGCAAATCGCATGTAGTTGATCACTTCATTCTGATGGTGATCATTTAGACCCAACTCTGCCTGCATATAGAATATAAAATACTGATATAAAGATGAATAACATGGATTTTCTATAATATTTAAAGAACTTATTTACTTAATTTAAAGGGTACTTATGCTTTCCCATATCTAAATAGCACATGATTTATAGAGAATTTTCTGAAAATATATACACTCAGAATTATTGAGCCTTAATATATATTGTACACCAATTTTTAAGTCACTGTGCCCATCATATAATTACATTGTCCAGATTTAAAAATCAATCTTGGTAGCCATAATACTAATAAATAATACTATAAAAACTGAATAAATATATACAATCTTCATACAGTCTTAGAAAAGAACAGAATACCCAAAAGGAGAAAAAATGAGAATGAGAATATCAAGTAGAAATTCACCATCGTCATTCTCAGATTCATTCATTCACCAACAATCCCAAACTCACTCAAAACAAGAGAGGCCCCTATTGAAAGTTGCACAGGTTTACCACCATTATTTCTGTGATCTGTCCAGCATAAATCAATACTAAGAATGGTCCTACAAGAGATTTGATAGCGAACTAGCAAAAAAAAAAAAAAAGGGGGGGGGTAGGGTTGTGATCAAATGCTTCAAGACAAAATCCAGTATCAGAGAGATGTGTGTAATGCGAATTCGGCGTAAGTAAAAGCTTCCATATCAATGTTGTATATAGACAACGTGAGCTTTCTTGTTTCTTTTTGCTGCTATCTAATGATACGGATTTTGCAGTCAAGAATTGGTAGCCCTATCTTTGGCAATAGTCACAGGAGTCTTAAGGTTACACTATCTTAATTTCTAATGTAAAGATCTAAACTGATAATTTGGAATTCAGTAAGGGAGCGATCGGGCCTCTTTCAGTTGGAGGAGAGAAGCGCCACATTTTGCGCGAATAATCCCAAATTCCATTTCTCCCAGGAAGTGAAGCAAAAGCACGACCGAATATTAATGGGGCGGATGAAAAGCAGCAGAAGCGTCGGTTGCTCACCATGACGAACCGCCGGTGGCCCACAACGAAGAAGACGCGAAGATTTACCGGACTATGGTTGCCATGGTGAAGAAACGAAAACCTCGCGAGCGTCTTCCTTAAAATATCATTGGCTGATCGAGTGTTCGCACTGACGGAAACGAAGTCCTTTAGTGATCGCGTGGGCGAAAAGGCGGGTTAACGGCTTTTTGGAAGGAGGGGGTCCGTGCGATAGCTCAGGGATTTCAAAGTCGAAAACGCTGGCCCTGTGTTCTTGCTGTTCTTTATATTATTTCCCTCCCTCTCCCAGTATGTCGGGGATAAAATAGCATGGGGTAGAATACAATGCACTTAGGGGCTTTCGCTGTCATCACCTAGCAACCTTTTTTCTCATTGTTAAAGAAGGTACGTAGAAATAAGAGAATTTGGCCCTGCTTTGAAAGGTTCGATTAAAATCAATGCGTCCGACCGTGGCGGGGTCGAGATTCAATCTCCCAAATATTTCTTTTCTGCGTAGTTTCTTTACACCGATATATACGATGCGTTTATTCAAACGAGAAGAACCCCTAAACATAAATAATTGAACCTTTTGTTTGTTTTTAAATCTTCATTCCAGTTTGATTTTTTTTTTCTCCCGCAATTACTTTGCTACAATTGTTGCTGGAGAGAGTTTAGCATATTTTCACACTTAAGGTTCTTAATGCTACCAACCAGTTTTAACCTCTGCAGCTACTCTCACTTTCGTGAATGGATTGCATGTATGTGAGTGTGTAGTAAAAGTGACAGAAGCAGAAATATGAAAAGATGTAACTAGTAAAAATGATATATAATACTACTTTTGGATCATCTGCCCCCCAAAATACTTCCTTCTAAGCATTTTACAAATAAAACCCTGACTTGGAAACACCTACAGTTTCATGATAAACAGTTTTAATCTGCTGAATAAAGAAACTATAGAATGTAAAATTGAGTGAGAAATGCCTAATTGATCAATACAAAAGATAAACCATTAACAATGGAGCTGTGAAAGATACTGGATTGATCTGAAATCTGTAGTCTTGTTGCATAATTTAAAAATTATTCACAATTTTATGATACCTATTCCTGGAAATACAAGGTTCTCCCAAGTAAGAAGAAGCAGGCTGGTCAACTGATAGAGTAGGGCAGAGTGATTTAGTCACTCAGCCAAAAATTGACAGAATGTTATGGCCCCTTATTTCTTCTATGTCTTCAAGTCCCAGAATATAGAATTTATTATCACGAAAGAGCTGGGATATTCACTAGAATGCATTATTTCAAACCAGAGCCAGAGATTCTAGTATATATGCAACAAACCCTGATTCTTTTTTTTTTACAGGCTCAAGATGTAATGAATTTAATTGTCCATTTTGAAAATGGCAAAATTTCTGGAGGGAACTTGATCCTCCTGAAAATGCTTAAACAAAATCCTGATTGGTGGATTATTGTTTTGCCATCTTTTTTGAGGAACAATTAACAGTAAGTCCTCCAGGAATTGACCAACAAAGTCCAGTGTTCAAATAGTCACAAACTGATTGTTTTTATAATATTCCCACTTTGAAAGGACCTAAATAAAAAGTATACTTAATCCTCTGTTATTTTTTTTTACTATTACTCGATTCAGCCAGAGCATATCTAAAAAGTACCATAAAAGGTGCAAAGCAAACACATTGCCAGAAAATTCAGAATTCTTTCAGGACCCAACAAACACCAGGCGAATGTTGAAAGGAATCCAGACCATTTCGGATTACAAGGTGACTCCATCGAGATGCAAGGATGACACAGAGTTCCTAAACAAACTGAATACATTTTTTGGTAGATTTGAGGCATCAAATAGCACTCCTGCTAGGAAAACTGTGTCCCATCCTGACGAGCAAATGCCAAGCTTTGATGTCATCTTTGTCCAGAAAACACTGCAGAAAGTTAACATCTTGAAAGCAGCAGGCCAAGATAACATCCCTGGACGTGCTCTTAGGGAATTCGCAGATGAGCTGGCTTGTGTTCTCACAGATATTTTCAATCTCCCATTGCAGCAGGCAGTGGTCCCATCGTGTTTTAAGACAGCCATCATCTTGCCAGTGCCAAAAAAAGTCCACAATTACAGGCCTCAACGATTACCGTCCGGTTGCACTGACATCCACCATTATAAAATGCTTTGAGAAGCTGATAAAGGACATTATTGTATCTAGCCTCCCGCCAGCATTTGACCCGCTTCAGTTTGCCTACTGACCAAATCACTCTATGGAGCACGCTATTTTTTCCGTCCTCCATCTGAGCTTGAAGCACTAAGAGGAAAGAAATACTCGTGTGCGTTTGTTGTTTGTTGACTTCAGTTCGGCGTTTAACACAATCATTCCCCAGCATCTAGTAGACAAACTGGGCCTTTTAGGCTTAAACACTCCTTTGTGCAACTGGATTCTTGATTTTCTTACCAACAGGCCCCAATATATGCGAGTTGGAACAAATACCTCTAATACCATTTTCTTGAGCACAGGTTCTTCCCAAGGCTGCGTCCTAAGTCCACTTGCTGTTTACTCTGTTGACACATGACTGTTGTGCTAGGTTTGCCACCAACCACATTGTGAAGTTCACAGATGATACAACAGTAGTGGGCCTTACTCATGATGACAAGGTGGAAGCTTATCACAAGGAGGTTGAGGGGTTGGTGAACTGGTGTAAGGAAAACAGCCTAGTTTTAAATACCAAAAAAACCAGAGATCATTGTCGATTTCAGAAAAGGCAGGCACAGCGACACTTCTCTGTGCATAAATGATTCACCTATGGAGATAGTTACCAGCATCAAATTCCTGGGTGTGCAGCTAACGAGTAGGCTGGCTTGGTCGCTCAATAGTGAGAAACTGGTATAGCGGGCACAGCAGCACCTGCATTTCCTGCGTTGTGTAATAAAAGCACATCTTCCTTCCCCTCTCCTGACCACTTTCTACAGATGATCGAGAGCATCCTGTCATACAGCATCAGAATCTGGTTTGAAGCATCACTGCTTCAGACAAGAAGGCAGTGCAGAGTGGTGAGAATGGCCAAAAAGATCATTGGCAGTTCCCTCCCTTCCATCCAGGACATAGCATAGAAGCGTTGCTTGAGTAGGATCCGTAAGATTATCTGGGACACTACACGTCCTCTTCATAACCTGTTTCCTTGTTACCTTCTGGGAGGAGGCTTCGTGGTATCCATAGCAGAACATCCAGATTCAGCCATAGTTTCATTCCATACAGTATTAACCTTGTAAACTCTCAAGCATCCTCCTTCTGTTATATATTCAAGATGGATAGTATTTAATATTTATTTGTTATAAATATATGTATATGTAGGGGTGTGGGTCTATACATACGTTGTATATAGTATGTTTAGGTGTATGTTATGTATGTGTTTCACTTTGAGAGTGGGCAACTAAATTTCATTTTTGGTGTGTGCTGTTGTGCCCACAGTAAAAAAATGACAATAAAGGTTATCTTATCTACTATACAAGCCATTATCAGAGATAAAACGTATGTAATGTCTGAATGGATGTTTATGTAATAAGATGTCAAAGTAATTATAATTTAGTAGCTGACCGGCAGAAGTGATGTTTGGAGAATAGGTCAGCAAAGTATTTTAGGGGTAGTGTCCCTTTAAGAGATTGTGTCTGAGGGAAATGAAAGTTGGAATCTTTAACTCTCTTGAACCATTTGTATATAACTGACTGCCTTGCATTCTGTATGCTCCCTGAATGTTGTTTCATGTTGTATATTAAACCACAGTTCTTTTGATAAACCACTGTCAGATGTTTGTTGTCCTGTTTGTCACAAGAAGAAAACAGGAAAAAGGCTGCGATAATTTATATATTTTAAACAACAGGTTATGGGCCCAGTTTAAAGAAAAGCCAAGAAAAAACAAGTGAGAACCTGACTAGAGTCAGACCTAAGCAAGAAAGTATACTTAATCTTCTGTTATTTTTGTTTACTATTACTCAATACTATGCAAGTCATTATCAGAAATAAAACGTGTATATAATGTCTGATAATAAGATTGATCAAGAGAAATGCACTGAAAGTATTTTATATCTTACTGCAGAGGTCTCCAACCTTTCCGGGCTCGAGGACCAGAGGGAAGGAGAGCAGCTTCAAAATTGGTGTGCGTGCACGGATGCGCGCACACAAGGGGTCACATACAATGGCACAGCACTAGCAGCCCCGCTGGTGCCATGCGCATGCACAAATGGCCTCGCACCCCCCACAGCGGCTAGTGGCCCATTTGCGCATGCGTGAACAGGCCACGCAAACTGCCCAGGCTAGCGGTGCATGTGCAAATAGGCTGTGGACACCCACCCCACGCTAGCATTCCCATTTGCACCTGCATGCATGCGCAGCCACAGGCGCTAGCGTGAGGGGGGAAATGCACGCCCACATGTGTGCACACCAGCCAGCCGTTTCCACAGGCCACTAGCCAAGAGCCCACAGCCCGGAGACCCCTGCCTTAATGAACTCCATCTTCCCGGACATACAGTTCACAATGGAGAAAAAACAGGTAGACCGTTATATCTTCATTTCTTTAGGCATTAAACAAGGCAAAGTGTTGAAACAGCAAACAAGTTTATTAACTCAGAAAAGAAACTGCCTTAAAGGCTGTTGCACAGCTATTTATACAGTTAGCCTCTAGGTGATGACCAATAGGTTTAAAGTAACAGTTTCCTGCCCCAAACCTCATTATCAGCTTGGAGACAGCCAGTCTGGCTTTCAGTAACAGCAACTGTTAAACAATACAGCAATGTAGGTCAGACATTAAGCAAGTGATTTAAAACAGTTGTGGCCAATACATTACACCCCTTCCCCCTAGATGGCTCAAACTCTCAATTGCTGGATATAGTCCTGCAGATATTTAGGGGGCCTTCTTGACCATTCTGAACGTCTAGGGGTTGCAGGGGTCTCCCGGTCTACCCGCTCACCTGCCCGGCTGGGTAGACCAGGACTCTGAGGTTCATGAAGTCAGGTTGATTCAGGTCCTTTTGACTAGCCAGTCCCAGTCGGCCCAAACCAAAGTCCAATCGTGCAGCAAAGTCTGCAGGGCTGTCCCTCAGCGCAGTTTACCGGTCCTGTTCAGCGGATACGGTCTGTCTGGGGGAAGCTCTCCT